TGCATGTGAGAAAGAGAGACAGAGAGAGAAAGAGAGAGAGCGAGAGAGAGAGAGAGAGATAGAGAGAGAGAGAGAGAGAGAGAGATAGAGTGTGTGTGAAAGAGAGACAGAAAAACACAGAAAGAGGGTATACATGCAAGCGTATCTTTTTGTACGAATTTAGTTTTAGTAAGAGTTCTACGGCGCCTGCAACACAATTAGGTCAAAATATAAGATTTGAAAATTAGAGTATATTTTATTAGAAAGTAACATACAGACAAAAGAAGGAAGAGAGATAAGGACGGGAGATATTTGATGAGAAAGAAGGAACACCTGCCAACCACCATCTTTCTGTATAAGAAAAGTTAGCCTTACATTTCACTGGCCTCATGTTTGCTTGCGATTAAAAAAAATCATGCAGCGAGTATTTTTTTTACGTAACAGGAACTTGCTTCTACGTTTATTATCAGAATGCCAAAATCCTCAATACCAATGACAGTGGGATTTCAAAATTACCAATTTAGTACCCCTCCACCACTTTTTTGTCCTCCCTTCGACCACCCCCTTCCACAACACCATTTCCCCAACACCTCCTTCCTCCCCCCCTCCCCGTGAGTTGTATTATCTTGATCAATGATTAAAACATTTCTGTTTGCGCGGCATAATAATATCGTTAAGGCAGTTTTCAAAGTGATCCATTCCGGAGATCCCCGGCTCAAGCCCCGTAAGACACACAGTTATACCGAACAGACACTTTATACTCTGAAAGAAAAGAACCTATTGACATTGGAAGGCGCCAAGTAAACAACAGTAAGTCATGTTTTTCAAGTTTTTACAGGCTCCATTATGAAAATGAAGTTTATCCACCCAAAACGCTTCAAGAAAATCCATTCTTTGTCTCTACTGTTAAACTTAAAAAACACGACTTACCATAGTTTACCTGGCGCCCCTCGTTGTGTTTGTCCGGGCTCATTTCATTCTAATCATTTTTTTTCGAGACATTTCGTTTCTTTGGTTCATTCCATAGATTTGTACTCCTAGACCACGCGCTGTTATGGCGGCCGCACTTCGCATTCGCACAATGGGCAGCTCGATTGTGCCCAAGGAAGGGCAAAACAGTAGATTCGATGTAGTCTATTTCACACAACCCGACCCTTGCACACTTGCACCCACTTTTTCAACTTGTCCCCCCCCCCCTCCCCCGTTTCCCAATTTGCCTAAACTCGAGAGAAATGGTGCGCGTCATAGTCAACCGTAAATACGCCAGAGTGCTCAGTCTAGAAAATGAAATTAAACGTCTATGGGTTCGTTCACCCATTGCAGAAGAATACTATTTTTAGTGATGCACAGGTGCAAATGGTTTTATGTAGATCATAGACTACATACGCATGGCGGCGTGTCAAACAAATTTTGAAGGAGATGAAAGTGGTTGAAAAGTTCAGCTTGCACAGTGAAATAGCTAGGTAAGAGAGGAGTGTAAGGCGGTGGCAGAAATTGAAGAAACCTCATGCTGCCAAACCAATCTTCCATAATATAGCATAACTTTCTCCCCCCCCCCTCTCTCTC